TACTCTTGTCTTTTCACAATATGTCTGTGCTGTATCCTTAGGGAAATTTACTTCATTTTATATCTTTAAAAATTCATTGTAAATTATATTTTCAAAGAACGGGGGGGGGGGGGGGGAGAGAGAGAGAGAGAGAGAGAGAGAGAGAGAGAGAGAATCTTCTCAAAGTTGATTTCTGTTCCAACATGTTTGTACAAGAATTACACATTTAAGTCATGCTGTTCCAGAATTATTTCACAGACATTCTGAATTCTGGAAGACAATAAATTCCATATCAATAGGACAAAAACTGACTTTGAATAATTTTTGGTTCGGTATTCCCCCCCCCATCCATACATTAATTTAAGGAGCCTTGAAATTCACTTTGGATTATTATTTTAAATACTTAAGTCACCAAAAGACCTAAGAATCATTTTTCTCATTAAGCGTGTTCTCCTTCATGGAGAGCACGTGTTGCAGTGGGGTCTGACAGGCCACCCCTCTGTTGCTGGGCGGGATCCTTTAGATGGCCACTGGCAGTGATTGGGCTGTTTGGGTTACTGGGGAAATTTTGATGTTGCCAATTTGTGGGATGGACCAAGGGTTTTATATACTGAGCACACAGCATCGAGCGTTCTCTTTTGCTGCGTGCACCGGATCACCCGCCTACCCTCCCTACTTTAGGGCTCTTGCTATGCCTGTCATGGGGTTGCCTGCTTTTGGGGCAGGGGCCTGGTAGGAATTTTGTCCGTTTGGCTGATTGGCTGGTGCCATTTGGTTTTTGCCTACTGCGTAGCAAATCGTCACAACTTATAAGGTTGCGGTTAGGCATTGGTTAATTTTTGGTTGGTGGAGGGGATGTGGTTGGCAGTGCCTGCCCCTCCAATGCTGCTGCTGCAAGGAAATTCCGTTAAAGGAATCCAGGGGCTCGCCATGCTTTCGTCCAAATCCCTGGTGTGGGGCTTGGGCTACGCAAGCCCCTGGGGGAATGCGGGGAGAGGTGAAGGTCTGGTGCCCAGCTCCATTTCCCCCCCATATTGTTTTCCTTTACTGGCTTTCGCTGGAATCCGGAAGTCAGTTCTGTCCCTGGGCGGGGACAGATTGTCGTAACCAATGCCTAAGCAACTACTCACATTTATGTATTTTAATAAAGTTGTGACCAAAATTATGCCAAAAACCTTAAACAAAAATTCTGTGTGAATTGTGATTTATTTGGGGGAGGCTTGGGTACCTCGACACATTAACTAAGTTTCTACATTTACAATATATATAACTAAAGCCAAAGCTAAACACTTCATCATTCTGATGGATATAATTCCCACACTGAAGGAGGATACATCAACCAGAATATGCATTAAGTTACAGATCTTCATTTTATGTATGAAGAAAATCATAAAATTATCTACAGAGGCCTTTTATAAATGTTCACGTTCAAATACAAAATCGTGGGCCACAACTCTACACTTTTAAACAGTATCTTCATAATTTTTTTTGTATCTTTCGAACAGATTATTTTGAATGAAGATCGGCAATTTATAAAGCCCAATCTTCTCCAAACATCAGTCATTAGCAATTTTTCTAGCCAATGCCAATTATTGAACAAAGGCTAGATAAACAGAATAATTCATACAGGAGGCTTGCCTGGCACTATCATTATACACCTTCAGGCACCAGACAAAAACGTTCGTAACCAGGCCTTTGGCCTTTAATTATCTGAGGCCTTTTAGAAGTGGGTGGGATTTTTTAATGCATTTCTCTTTCTTCCTGGTGTTAATGCATCTATGTAGGGTTACTGCCTGTTTGTTTGTAAATCACTTTGGGTTACCCTGTGCAAGCGGCTGACAAATTTAATAAATAAAAATAAAATAAAAAGTTAAAATAAATTTTCAGAAATGAAAATGATTAAAACTTAAAATGTAAAGTTCCCTGTGTCATTTAAAGTTAACAGTCCCCTTGGCAGTCAACAAGGTTTTGTGTAAAAAAGCGTCAACAACTTTCTCAAAGCTACCATGTATGTGGGTAACAAGCTTCATTGGCCAGCAGCTCTTTAATTTTAAAATTGTCTGACTGTACTTCTAGAATATTCTGAAAAGAGGAAAGGAATCCACCCCTAGTGGTGTTAATAGAGGACAATACAGAATATAGTGCATGATATCTTCAACCCAGCCTGATCTGCATACAGACAGACAATCTGTAGAGGCAGGCCTTAAATTACTGGTCAGATATTCTGAGGGTATACTTGGAAATCTAATCTAGGTAAATATGGGGGTGGGAGAGAGAGTTAATTCTCCCAGTGTGCTTAAATGATGTAGCCTGGGGAAATCACACCAATCTAGGCATAATAATATCTCAATAAAATATATTTCCAAATTAATTGCATTTTCAGGGTGATTTAAATAACAGACTTTCCTGCTTGTCCCACAGGAAACCACTAGCAGTCTCCCATATGGCTACTTGTTACCCTACAAACATCTCAAGCAAAAAGTTGAGTTTGTTTGGATTTTAAAATGTCTTAGACTGTGCCTAACTGCCTTATCACTTCATTTTGTTTAGAAAGTTTGTTGAGACTGTCTTTAAAAAAAAAATGTTTGGAGGTTAAAGGACTGGATGATTGCTAGGGTGGGGCTGAAGAGATCCATTTGGTGGTAATGGTGAAGTTTAACTGGTTTTTAATTGGTTTGCTTGCCTTCCTCCCCTCTCATGGTGCAGGCCCTTACAGTGCCATCACAGTGCACAATTGTGGAAAACAAAAATGCTGCCTCTCAGCTACATGGTATTGATCAGAACACTGTTGCTACCTGCCCCAGTTGCCAGCTAAACTAGCCAATGTTTCACCTGCACAGGAGGGGCTACACTGATGTAGACAGGGTTGCCATATGTACACTTTTTCCAGGACATGTCCTCTTTTTCATGGGTATGTAAAATGAGAGTTGTCATAGCAATCCATAGTTAAAAGTAAAAGGTAAAGGGACCCTTGACCATTAGGTCCAGCCGTGACTGACTCTGGGGTTGCGGCACTCATCTCGCTTTATTGGCCGAGGGAGCCGGCGTACAGCTTCCGGGTCATGTGGCCAGCATGACTAAGCCGCTTCTGGTGAACCAGAGCAACTCACGGAAACGCTGTTTACCTTCCCACCGGAGCAGTACCTGTTTATCTACTTGCACTTTGACATGCTTTCGAACTGCTAGGTTGGCAGGAGCAGGGACCGAGCAATGGGCGCTCACCCCGTCGCATAGAAGTTGGCAAATGTGTCCTCTTTTTTGTTCTTTTAAATATGGCAACCCTAATGTTGTAGGAGGTGGTTCACTTGTGGATGGCCTCATCCAACCTTGCTATGTGCCAACATATGAATACCCTAGAGGGGGGAGATGGGACAATTTAGAGTGCCATAGGACTGGTCCAAGACATTTTGGCAGCTGAGGCAAACCACAAAATGGCATTTTTGCCACCAGGGAAGAAGGAGTGAGTGAAGATCTACATCGGGAACAAGGGGAGGGGGATCAAATCAACCTTATCTGATGGTTGAACTGGGAGTCAAAGGTCATCATGGGGGTGAAAGTTGCCTGCTCTGAATCACAATGGGTGATTGAGCCCAGGATATCCCACCGGGCAGTCCCCACCATTTCCTTCTGATGGAAGGAGACCAGCAGTGTCTCCTATTCACCAAGAGGCCACTGTGGAGGTGACAATGGGGTGCAGGTGGGCTGCTGAGGAGGTAGCAGATCCAACCTCCCATTAACATGCTGCCATTGCAGCAGGCAATGCAATCCTTGTAGGCCAGATCTACTGCCCCTGTGAATCCCGCTGCCCAAGGCAGTTCCCTCACTTTGCGTCATGTGTGGGCCGGCCCTGAAGTGCATACTTTTGCATGCTGCTCTCCACATGCAGAGAGAAGAAGAACTGTGCTTTTGATTTTTTAGAAAGGGGAAAACCCTCAGTGGATAAACCACTGTAAGTTTGGCCACATAGTTTCTTTGTATTGCTTGAGTAAAAATAATGCTGCATTTCAGGGTGAAAGGTAAGATGCATTACTTGGTTTTGGAACACTCAGTTTGCTATTACACTGTTCAGTCAATGTTGCCATTGTGGAACAACAACATCAAGTTCTCAAAAAAAAGGGGGCATTGAATAAAGCCTATAATCCAGCATAGTAATCACAGACCGTCGCCCGCTTTAGAAATCAATATAAAGTGCAGACAAGTTGATTAGAGAGGTGCAGAAGTTTACAGGCAAAAGTACAACTCAAATCAGCAAGGAAATGGGCTTCAAAAACTTTTTAAAAATGCAGTTTGCTTGCATATAGGTAATTAGTTTTAGGTTTTACTCTCATGACTTCCTTAATGAAATCAAAAGCAGCAGAGAAGAGTCTTTTCTAATTAAAAGCAGTCAATATTATAATTATTTCCCATTCTTAATTCCTATTCTAGGGGAAGGGAACACTCTTCAAGCTAGCAGATGCTCTGTAAAATGGAGGACTCTCAGGGATTAATATTATGAAAGTTGTGGCATGCAATGGTGACAGCCATTTCATAAGTTAAAATGGTAACACTCTGCCACTTTCATAGCAAACACATCTTCTGCAGAATGTCCAACAGCCAGTGTCTGTAACTGATCAAAGCACCAGGTGATTTTTTGAAAAAGAAGAAGCTCCTCTTTTTCAAAGGGAGTGTGGTATTCCAAACAGCATTTGAAAATTGAATTTGGAAATACTGCCCCATCCCTAGTTGTGAGGATAAAAAGCAGCTCTGGATTGCTTGGGAAACCATCTACATTATCCTCATTCTATCATGCTCTGCACCTTCTCTTGTCTTCTGTTTTCTTCTGGAAATATTTGCTTCCTCTAGCTTGAAGATACGGTTAAGTCTTTTCTCACAAAGCACATTGAGTTTTAGTTCATACCGTATCCTGCGGCACCCCAAACTATAGTGGAGACAAAATTTGACACACACACCCTCCACACACCAAGCCTTTATTCTTTTCAGAAACCAATTCAAATCATTAGAAGAATATTTTCTCTACCTACCTGTTGAGCAGTCAGAACCTGTCCACTTTGGGTCACAGTTGCATACTCCAGTATCCAAAAGAAAACTGCCATGGCCTGAACACTGTTCTTGGCAGATAGGGAGTGAGGTTTCACAGCTGACTCCTCCCCAACCCATGGAACAATGACATTCCCCTTGAACACAGACTCCATGGCCAGAACACATAGGATCTAAACAGTCCTCTGAGGAGTAAAGGAAGGAGATAACAGCATTCAACACCGAAAGCAGAAAACTGTTAAGAACATAAATCAGTGTAAACATTTTTTTAAACTGAGGGCCACATTTCCTACTGGGAAACCTTCCAGGGGCCACACGACAGTGGTAGGTGGGGTCAGAGGAAAAGGTGGGTGGAGCAACAGAGGTAAATTTACCCCTGAAAAGCAGTAAAGCTTCTGCATACTCTCACATACCCCTCCTAGCCTCTATACAGTGAACCAAGAGGCATTATCAGAGTTTAAGGACACATTCCAGCCAGGCAAAAACTCAAGAGGGAGTGCAAAACAGGGCCAGTGAGGGATGAGGCCAGGGGAGAAGGAATGTGACTAGGCAAAGGGTGTGTTGTGGAAAGATTCCTAAGGGCTAGATAGAGAATCTTAGAGGACCACATTTGGCCCCTGGGTCAGAGGCTCCTTGCTTCTGACATGTATAAACAAAAGGTGTGTTTTAGGGCAGATTTCACATGTTATTTCTCTTAATGAGATTAGCTTTATTAGGTGAAGGGTCAATTCACACTTTACATCATCCCATGCTTATTGTGCTGTCTTGACTATGAGCAGAAGTCCAAACAGCACAACGGATGCCTGCAGACAACTTAGTCAAGTAGCAAGTTAGCAAGTGGGGTTAGAGTGGAATAACAGCATCAAGGATACAGTGGTACCCCGCAAGACGAACGCCTCGCGAGACGAAAAACTCGCAAAACGAAAGGTTTTTTCGTTTTCGAGTTGCCTCGCAAGACGAATTTCCCTATGGGCTTGCTTTGCAAAACGAAGCTTGCCCCGGGGACAGCGGGTCTTCTCTTTTGAAGCAAGGGGCGGCGGGGAGATCGCTTCTCCCCACCGCCCCTTGCTTCAAAAGAGTTCTGCCCCCGGACCTCTTTTGAAGCAAGGGGCGGCGGGGAGATCGCTTCTCCCGGTGCTCCGAAGCGGGGTGGGGGGGCGGGAACACCTGCCCCAGCCGCCGGGCTTCGTAGCGCTGCTGCGAAGCCGGGCGGGGGGGCGGGAACACCTGCCCCAGCCACCCCGCTTCGGAACGTTGCTCCGAAGCGGGGTGGGGGGGCGGGAACACCTGCCCCAGCCGCCGGGCTTCGTAGCGCTGCTGCGAAGCCGGGCGGGGGGCGGGAACACCTGCCCCAGCCACCCCGCTTCGGAACGCTGCTCCGAAGCGGGGTGGGGGGGGAACACTTGCCCCAGCCGCCGGGCTTCGTAGCGCTGCTGCGAAGCCGGGCGGGGGGCGGGAACACCTGCCCCAGCCACCCCGCTTCGGAACGCTGCTCCGAAGCGGGGTGGGGGGGCGGGAACACCTGCCCCAGCCGCCGGGCTTCGTAGCGCTGCTGCGAAGCCGGGCGGGGGCGGGAACACCTGCCCCAGCCACCCCGCTTCGGAACGCTGCTCCGAAGTGGGGTGGGGGGGCGGGAACACCTGCCCCAGCCGCCGGGCTTCGTAGCGCTGCTGCGAAGCCGGGCGGGGGGCGGGAACACCTGCCCCAGCCACCCCGCTTCGAAACGCTGCTCCGAAGCGGGGTGGGGGGGCGGGAACACCTGCCCCAGCCGCCGGGCTTCGTAGCGCTGCTGCAAAGCCGGGCGGGGGGCGGGAACACCTGCCCCAGCCACCCTGCTTCGGAACGCTGCTCCGAAGCGGGGTGGGGGGGGCGGGAACACCTTCTGAAGGCGGGCGGGGGGCGAAAGTCTTTGTCCCCCCTGCCTGCCTTCCCAGGGGCTTTTAAATCGCCCCGGACAGCGGAGAAGTCCTCCGCTGTCCCAGGGCGATTTTAAAATGCCGCCCGCCAGCATTTTAAGATCGCCCGGACAGCGGAGAAGTCCTCCGCTGTCCCAGGGTTTTTTTAAAATGCTGGGGGTGGGAAGAAAAGCCCTTGTCCCCCCCCCCAGCCTTCAGAAGAGGTCCGGGGACAGTCTGTCCCCAGACCTGGTCTGAAGGCGGTTTCCCTAGGAACGCATTAATTGATTTTCAGTGCATTCCTATGGGAAACCGTGCATCGCAAGACGAAAAAACCGCAAGACGAAGAGACTTGCGGAACGAATTAATTTCGTCTTGCGAGGCACCACTGTAGTTCCAAACAACTGACACCACAAAACCTAACTGGTGCCTTTTACCTTAAGGTTAGTTTACCCTTTCCCAATGCTTTTCTCCCTTCCTGAAGAGTGGAGAGACTTAAAGGGATCATTTTCTGGCCTAGAGTCTACCAATGCACTGCTTATCAGTCAGCTCTTGTATGTACTGCCAAGATTGCAGAGCAGCCATTGGGAAGCTTGAGGCTTTAAGCATAGAGAGAGCCATGCCCCACAGGAAATGTTACTTGGGGCTCCTGGCACCTCTACTACTTGTGCTGCTAGTCCTATTGATCTAGTTGGGTCTTCAGGTTGGTGCCACAACAGACCTGCGGCAGCTATAGATCAGATCCCAAATTATGATGTGAGCTTCCAAATGCAGTTAGGAGCTGCTCATCTGCTTTCATTTCCTATCCATTGAGAATTCTTGTTTCTGTGGTGCACAGACCTCTGGAACAATGGTCATAATTATGTGTCAGGGCCATACAGGGTCAATTTGGAGGGCCAGGGGTCAGCTCAGGTAGAGGTCAAGGCCCAGAAAAGCATTTTGAGCCTAGAAGGATAAGAAGCTAATGTGTAGTCAGGGTCAGGAGCATTCCTATGGGGAAGGAAGTGAGGCAAGGTGTAGGTGGTTAGGGAAAGATCATAGCAGGGCCGCCTTAAGCATATTGACCATTATTTTCCATATAAATAAATGCTAGCGGAGAGTTCTAGGAGAGAAAGAAGGAGAAGAGATAAATTCATTTCTGCAAACCGGGGTTTGAACAGGACATGTAAAGCAGAAGAACGCTCTTTTGCAGAGGTGAGGGGCTAGGAGGCAGAATCAGAAGAAGCTTCAGCCGCCAAACAAAATCTCCAGTGGATCTGTGTTGGGAAGCAAGCTTTGCCTCCCTCCTCCAGATCATTTTCACTCAACGCATTATCAAATTCACCTCTGCAAAAGAGCGTTCTTCTGCTTTAAATGTCCCGTTCAAACCTCAGTTTGAAGAAATTTATCTCTTCTGCTTCTTTCTCTCCTAGATCTCTCTTCTAGCGGGAAGGTGGGGTGGGGTGGGGGAGAGAAGGCTGAAAGATTCTCCAGATCCAAAGGCGATCAGCTAGGATCACAAACTCTGTTCTCTCCCCCGCCTCTTCCTCCCAAGAGACAGTCGGTTCTATGCATTCATATTATTCATGATTTTTATTCTTTCTAAAAACCAGCCATCCAGCATAGCCACCCCAAATATTCCCAGTAAAAAAACAGAATATCGCCTTTGACAGACTTTGAGCTGGTATAGAAAGGTGATGCTTGGGCAGGGGGTTGGGTGTTTGGTAGAGAAGAGGCGGATCCTCTGCGTGTCTTGAAGGAAGCCCCCCAGGGCTCCAGGGAGGCTCACTCTCAGGCAGGCATGCCTGAGACAGGCTTCCTAAATAAAGACCTACCATTAAAATGTGATTACCTCCTTGGCGGTGCCCCATTATTTTATTTTTATTTCTGAGAAGGGAGGCAGCTCCTGGGCGTCCTCATCTTCACAAGCTCCCTCTTCCGCATTCCCTTTGTGTGTGCCTGGGCCTGCCTGCTGGGGCTGCCGATTGGTGTGGCCGCATCTGGGCCTGCCCGCTGGCGTCGGCTCCACTAATGAAATGCAGCGCCTGGTGCCCTCCACAGCTTGGCCCCCTGGCTCACCACACCACTATGCCGAATGGCAAAGATGGCCCTGGATCATAGTTCAATAGCAGAACATGCCCCTAGACATATTTGTTTGAACTTTGGCAGCTTTCTTACTCTGGGTGCCTCTGCCATTTCCCAGTTTTTAAATTGATTTCCCAGAAAAAGAAAACAGTGGAGCGGATATGATTTTAACTTTCCTAACTCAGTTTGCCCTTGTGGGAGAATCGCTGAATCCATCTTCCTGAAATTCAGCAGGTGTTATCCACTCTAGAAGGGCAACTTTTCATGATAATTTAATCCACTTGTGTGAAAAGGGGGGGGGGAGTTATAGCTTTTCAAAACAGATTCCCTATTGTGATCAATAGAGGCAAAAAAAGAGCTTCAAATTTAACAGATCAAATTTGGAACCAAATAATAAATTGAACTAGAATGACACACAGCAGATCTGAAACTTATCAGGCTGCTTCCAAATGTTAGATACACAACAAATCTTGTGATTGTGCACATCCTGGTATCTACCAACTTAAGGACATGACTTCCGTATGCACAAAATCAGTATCTATCAATTCACACTTTCAACAACTGAGTTTACTTTGTAGATTCCATTCAGCTTTTGAGGGGCCATATACCATCTGCACATCAGTTTATATTGAGCTTCCTTTAGGGTTAAGGCATAAAGAGAATTTATCAGCCATTTCTAATATCCTTCTCCAAGCTTCTGTTGTTAAGACATGTCCAATTGATCTATGTCAGTACCACTACTGTAATCTCTCTGTAACAGAGAAATAGGCTTTGACATTACAAATAAGGTTCTGCCATTCCTCTGAAAGATAAAGTATTATTGGTGGAGGTGGTAGAGGAAACAGGATTTTTTGTGGGCATTGGATTTGCAGAGTGATGTGTTCTTAACTTTAAACTGTTGGCACTGCCTTTTGCTTAGTTGGACCAATGGACTACACAGTATTGCTTGCAATGGCTGGCAGTAGCTTTCCAGGATTCCAGATGAGGGTACTCACAACCCCACTTAGACATGCTTGGGATTGAACCTGGGACCTTCTGCACGCCAAGCATGTGTAGTCTACCTCTCAGCTACAACTCCATTGAAAAGAAAGCCAGTAAGAGAAAGAAGAGGCACAAACCTTCTTCACATATCTCTCCTTTATATCCTGGGTCACAAATGCAGATTCCCATGATACACTTTCCATGGCCAAAGCAAGTGGGGTCAATGCACTGCTCTTCTGGAACATCACACTCAGGGCCTTTCCACCCATTGCGACACAAGCAGTGGCCCTTTTCGTATTCTCCATTTCCACTACATAACACTGGGCAGGAGTCTAGAGGAGAAACATATTTGAGTGTTAATGATCTACATAGGATTTGGTGCCGCAATAAAAGTGGTGGCACATTTAAAAAGCTAAGCAGGGTCCAGTATGGTTTCAAATTAAATTGGATGAGGAACTGCGTGTTGAGATTCCTGCACTGCAAGGGGTTTAGACTAGATGAACCCCTTCCAATTCTACAATTCTATTAGCCTATGATTCTCCCCCCACCCCACACTTTGTGGTGCCAACACTTGGTATTCTTGAGCAGCAGCAGGAGCCCCAAGAGGGCTCACCTTAGTTGGTGGCCCTGCTCCTTACTCCTATGGCAGGCTGATAGGTCTGAGAGACACCTGCCACTGAAAATTGCCCTCAATCTTCTGGAGCAACACTATTTGGAGCTGAGAGCCCATCTTGTTGAAGGCCCCCTCAAATCTTTTATCATCTGTTTTTGCTCTCAAATTTACTATCCATTTAGCGTACCTGCTTCAGCTTTTCACGTTCTATTTCCTATCCAATCTTTTCATTTTATTCTCATTTTTGTTATTCCATAAACTGGAATAATTTTTCTCTCTGTTAACAGTCTGGTCATGATGCGTCTGTATCAGATACTTAGCTTGGCTTTGGGGAGTGCTCCTTATATTTATTATTTGGAGGTACTCTTTGCATGGACGCGGGTGGCGCTGTGGGTAAAAGCCTCAGCGCCTAGGGCTTGCCGATCGAAAGGTCAGCGGTTCGAATCCCCGCGGCGGGGTGCGCTCCCGTTGTTCGGTCCCAGCGCCTGCCAACCTAGCAGTTCGAAAGCACCCCAGGGTGCAAGTAGATAAATAGGGACCACTTGCCAGCGGGAAGGTAAACGGTGTTTCCGTGTGACCGGAACGTGACCCGGAAGTGTCTCCGGACAGCGCTGGCCCCCGGCCTCTTGAGTGAGATGGAAGCACAACCCTAGAGTCTGTCAAGAATGGCCCGTACGGGCAGGGGTACCTTTAACTTTACCTTTACCCTTTGCATGTGAAAGATCAGCCCACCATTTTTGGTATGCAGTCACTACTGTCTCAATGTATGTTTGATAAACATCTGATGCTGATGAGTGGAAGTTGAAGTGTCCGCTATTTGCTTCAAAATCATGAAGGGTATATTATGAAGGATTTCTGCCTCCATATCCCCTAGAGCAGGGGTCAGCAAACTTTTTCAGCAGGGGGCTGGTCCACTGTCCCTCAGACCTTGTGGGGGGCTGGACTATACTTTTTTGGGGGGGAATGAACCCACAAATAGCCCAGAGATGCATTTTAAATAAAAGGACACATTCCACTCATGTAAAAACACACTGATTCACAGACCGTCCACGGGCCGAATTTAAAAGGCGATTGGGCCGGATCCGGCCCCTGGGCCTTAGTTTGCCTACCCACGCCCTAGAGCTACAGGAACAGAGGAAACAGCATATCAGGCAGGAAGTACAGAGCTGCTGCCAATGAGTCCAGCTAGTTGCATGTGACGCGACATGGGAGGAGGGGAAAATGCACAGAAACACCTGCATGGATCTAGGCTTGATTGAGAGTCAGGAAGAAGTTGAGCCTCCAGCACCTAAGCCCGAGCTGCTTCATTGCTGAAGCTCCAAGCTGAGAAAATTGATATTTATTTATTTGTCTTTTCTTCTACTTCAAATATATAAATGAGAAATCTCTACCTCTTGCACAATCTGGACCAAGGAATCCTGGAAAACAGTGGCAGTGCCCAGAAATGCATTCTCCATTCCCATTGCAGTTAGTGGAGCAGTCATCCATGACTTCTGTTCATACAAAGAGAAAAGAAAAGCATAACAACAAAGTGAACAAACCACTTCTGAAATGAGAGGCAACGATGCAGCACAACCATTCAACCTTCAGATGAGTGGGGAACCAATTACATTCACTGTATTCATACACAACCTGAAATAAAACATCTGTTCAAACAACTTATTCTGTATTAGGTTTGGCCTTGACAGTTTAGAACAATAGGTATTTCATTCTGCAATACAATGTGAAGTTTTTATACTGAGAATTCATATTAAATTCCCTACTGTGTAAAGCATCTGAAGATTCTAAGTATTTATTGAGTAACCCCCATTGCACTTCAAATCTGTCTCTTCTTCATTTTATGGTTTTGTTTAAAATAAGAGTTTTATAGTACATTTCATTGAGCATTCCAATGTCTGTCATTTGTATATTTCAGATAAACATCCTACTTCTGTAAGATTTAGCCCCCCCCAAAAAAACCCCCTCACTTTGGGGCAATCAGTGATGGAATTTGACCTGGAAAAGCAAATGCGTTCAAGATCACCAAACACACCACTCTGGTGCAATATTGTAAACATGAGTTTAATTTTTTAGGGGATTTACAGATTTGCCCTACAATGCAAACAGCTTTCTTCAAAAGTGCCAATCACAGAAATGAATCCTGTAAAGCAACCGATTGGTTCTTGATGGAGAATATTCTTGAAGAATACCCCTGATTTATAACATTTAACAGAAGGAATATCGTTTTTAAGGATTTTATTTTCCTTTTAAAAAAATGAAATTTGAATGAGTTTTAGATGTTACTCTGTTTTAGTTTTATGCTGGTTTTAATCTATGTGTTATAGCTTGTAAATAAAAAAGCAATCAGTAAGTTTAATAAATAATAATAATTAATAATTTTCACCACTCATTGCAACAAGAAAAATTAGAACGTGGCTTTTAATGAGAATCCCCTCACCACCAATTTAGTTCAGCTTGTATTGTTTATGCTTCAGAACTGACCCACCCCAAAACAGCCCATGCTTCCTAGAATCCAGGAACCTATTTAATAATTATCATCATATATGTCCAATACAAGAAATGGCTCAATAATCTATGAAATCCTTCATTAGAAAGAGGAGGAAGACAAAACCAAGTGGTCTTACCAATTGCCGTTGTCAACACTTGCACTTGCTCCATTTTCTTGCCATCATTGTAAAATGCCAAGTGCCAAGTTCCCTGGTCCATATATTCTATGAAACCAGTTTCTTGCAAGGACATTAAGATCAGATTCCTAGGAGCATGCTGAGACTCCTCCGAATGTCTTGATTCTGGCTTAATTAACTGTTTCCCATCCATCAGTTTCACAAAATCAAACTGAAACAGCAACAATAAAAAACATGATTAGATAGAATCCTGTCTTTATATGCATGGTTGTGTGTGTGTTTTAACTGCTTTTGACCCTTCAAAGTTATTTCTAAAACCAACATATTTTTTCATTCTGAATTTGGTTCCAAAACCAATATGTCCCCACCACCCCCGATCAGTTTCCCCACAACCAGGTGCCTTCCAGACAGTGCTTTTTTCCTAGAAAAATAGGGGCTGGTACTCACCATGAAGTAGTTACAGTAAATGTTACACTTTTTAACAACCAACAAAAGAGGTGTGGGTACTGTGTACCCTTGAGTGTCCCCTGGGGGGAAAAACACGGCTTCCAGGTATGGTTAGACTACAGCTCCCATCATTCCTGACCATTGGGCATGCTGGAAATGGCTGATGAGAGTTGAGGTCCAAAGTATTTTGTGGGCAACAGACTGGGGGGGTGTTCACTAGGTAATTAAAAAGCTATTTTAGTGTTCTCTGTAAATGCGACACCAATGATCTAACTGGAATCAAAGCATGGATGTAATTACAAGAACCTGAACAAGTGCTTTAACTGGCTGTCAGGTTTGTGCTCAAACTGTAGGTAATTGCACTTAGCAAACAAGCAACACTCTTTCGGGTGAGCTTCTCAGCTTGCCATCAAACACAGAGATCTGAGTAAAGTAACACATTCCCATCTTTAGGGGGCAGCTACAGCTCAGCAACAGAGCCCATGCTTTCTATGCAGAAGGTCCCAGGTTCAATTCCAGGCATCACCAATCTCAAACAACCACCATGGTAAGATTCTTACCTGAGATTTTGAAGAGTAGACAGTGCCATGCTGACAATTCCCCCTTCTCTCCCCCTCCCCCATACATAACACACCATGGCCAAGCAAAGATTCCAAGAAAAAGGCAAATAAGTGGAAGGACATATTAGAGGTTTATAAAATTATGCATGCTGTCGAAAAGTATGTAGGGAGAGTATTTTCCCCTTTCTCATTAGACCGCCTCTCCTGATGTAAACCATCTTGGACCCTGCACTCACCAGCTGAGGTTGTTCTTTGTGTGCCTCCGACACAAGAAGTTTGGAGGGTGGGAACACAAGAACAGGCGTTTTTTTGCGGTGGCTCCCAGTTTGTGAGTGCTCTTCCCAGGGAGGCTCGCCTGGCACCCTCATTACATATATTTAGGTGCAGGCAAAAACTTCCCTCTTTTCCCAGGCCTTTGTTTAATTAGCCTATCTATGGCCTCTTAAACTGGGGGTTATTGTTTTTGTTTGTTACAGCAATCTGTATAAGTATCACACCAATCTCAACATTAAAACCTTTGGAAAGAATTCTTCTGCAAGTTCCTGTTCTTCTGCAACATGGAAGGACTGTGTGGGACCAGAGTGGTAGTATGCAGTGCCCAGTGTCCTTTCAGTCCCACAGTCCTATTATTATGTACAAATAATGCCATTATGCATGGAACAGAGTTTGCAAAGTGGGGTCCATGACCCCATTAAGGATGAAAGAACACGCTCAGTAGACTGGACAATTCATGCATTAGGAGGTAATTTTTTTCTACGAGCAACTGGAAAACTGAGTAAATGTTGCAATAAGAGGCAAAGCCAAATCTTGTTCTTTCTGGAAGGACTTCCTCTAGCTATCAAAATGTGGCTGTGCAGTGGTTAGAGCATGTACTTATGACAGTACACCTCTGGGGAGAATATTCCATGTTACTAAATGTAGAATCATAGAACTGTAGAGTTGGAAGGGACCATGAGAGTAATCTAGTCCAACACCCTGAAGTGCAGGATGTCTGTATTTCAGTGCTGTGCAGCTGGTGCACTACACGCAGCCCTCATATGTCTTTACAGCTCGCTCCCCCCAAATTTACACCACTGTTGCTGCTACCATTGGTTTTACTGCCACTGATTTTGCTTCTGTTGAATGTTTTCATTTCTATCACTCCTGCCTGCCAACAAACAGAGTAGTTCCTTTGTCACCTCTGTACCTTGTTTCTTGCAAGGGTTGGCAAATCAGGTTGCTGACATAAAAAACAAACAAACAAACAAACAAACATTGTGGGACATCATCTATATGCTTGGTGACCTTTTGTGCTTTGTACAAAAATAACAAAAAACTGAGAACTTTCTTCTCTTTGCCTAAATTGATAAAGGAATGTATTTGTCAAGGGAGGTTAAGAAGGAAAGTTAACAGCAGTCAACTTAATAGTGAACACCATATATTTCTGAAATAGCTAACTTTTAAAGTAAGTAAGTAAGTAAGTAAGTAAGTAAGTAAGTAAGTAAGTAAATACCTGTGTGTGAGTAGGGGGAATATTGCGTCTCCCATATATCCCGAAAAGTGAGTCCTTTGCCAGAGAAACATTAAATTTCAGGTACATTGGGTGATGGATCATAATCTGGAAACGCCAGAAGAGGCCTGGAAGAATGGCTTGAATCACTTGAACTCCAATTTCAATTTCCCCCGTGTCTATTGCCTGTCCTTTCTGAAACACTATTTCTCCAGAAACAAAGAAGAAGAAGAAAGAGTTTGCTGTCATTTAAAAAGAATGAGAAGAACAGTTTGAGGAACATGCTCAACTCTGTCCAAAAAAGTTTGAGGAACGTGCTCAACTATGCCCATCCCTTTAAGAATTTCTCAGAGGCATTCAGTGTATGCTGGGGAGAAGAGGACCAGAATCCCAAGTCCTCTCCAACTGCTTTTCCTATCATGTTTTCAACATTTGTCTGCGGACGGCCAAGCGAACCTAACAAAGTGGACAGTGTGGATCTAACAGAGAAGTCAAGAGTATGTCCTGTTGCTCCCAACCTCATTTTTTCATCAAATTTAAAATAACTCATATTCCTAAGCAGCTGAGCCTGTCAAGTGCCTGAAAGAGATGGATAAATATCTGGCTTAAATTAGCGTCAATTTGTGAACAGCTCCAAACAAGTCGTGGTTAAATTATTCCATCATCATCATTTATCATTAAAATGTCCAAGCCTTTAAATATACACTGCTCTGTTATTTTTATATCTTGAGTGGTACAGAAATTCTACGCCACTCAAATCTCTGAGCGCAGTGAAATTCCAGGGGTTCCAGGCTCTCACCAAGAATCCTTGTTTCCTTTTGGAAACGTGGCAAGCGGAGACTGTTGTGTCTTTAGGATATATGGTTTATTGACACACATATACAACCTGAGCCTACGAAGCAGGGCTTTGCAGAATTAACGCCCCAATAGGACCTTGCTTCTCCCATAGGTGCAGCCTTGGATTCAAACAGACATCAAACATTGTGCTCTGCCTGCTGCTTTGGTTCTCTGTCACATAACTCCTAAGTCTACTCTAAGCTTCTAACTCACACTGCTCTATCTGTTGAGGGAGGGGCCCTACCCATTTGCCATCTAGTACTGATCCTCCTTTGATCATGCTTTCTTAATAGCCCATTGCCTTTGTTTTCTTAATAGCTTATCACCCCAGGTTAATACCTCATCAGAAAACTAGCCTGGCTTATATTTTAAGACTAGCACTCATTTTAGCACACCAAGCCTTAATTAAATTCTAACACATGCTGAATCCAAGGATTATAGTGTTCTGGAACCCACAAACTCATAACACTATAATTAAGTAATGTCTATGGGCTGCCTACAGACTTGCAACCTAATAGACTTTGGACTGCAATTAAACCATAAGAAAAGCAGTAGCATTCATCATTCTTCAGCTTTAAAGACCTTTCAGATTTATTTATTTCCTTGGTTTGTTTATTTTAGAGCATTTGTAACCCAGTGCTCAACCCAGAAGGCTTGCAGAATGGCTGGGATAAAATCAGTTTAAACAGGACAGTCCCTACTTACAGAATCATAATCTAAAAGACATTACTCAAAGGGAGATACTGACTTGAAGCAAACTTTTTACAAGCCATTATCCATAACGTTAAGCAAAATGCAAAAACATATTTTCTTATGCTATTGCCATTAAGTATAAAGAGTCAATTGCATTGTTTTAGTACAATAACTCTAAGGTCAAGGACAAAACAATGTGTTTAACAGTAATGGAAATGTTGGTCAGTGTTGACGGCCTTTAAATGAGATTGTAACTACCTTACTTTCTAAAATGAAAGTTTAAAGATCTGCTGTTCTGATGGGAGATGAAACAATATATTGTAGTATCAGGTGATATTATTCAGGCATGACATGATGCTGTTATGGAAATGGTTCCTTCTTAGCAGAACTGTCCATCATTCACCCACTTGCGGCAAGCCTTTCTACTCTATTATTGTAAAGTAAAATGCATAAATCTATGAGCTGGTTTACAGTATGTAATCAAAAGTCGCTTTATCCTCTTTACCATTTTACACACACTGCCCTATAGTAGGGCTAGCCCTGTTTGAGTTCAAAGAAGCCCCCATGAACCTCAGCATAAAGACACTCTGCACATCAGTTGCTACTGGTTGGGCTGATGGGTGCTCTTAACCACATGCTACCTACTTTTCCTTCCTCAGGTCAAGCTCCCCCCACCAAAGCTCAGAAAGTTCCAACTCATTTCAAAGCAAGCCATCCCCCTGCTCTGTTCTTCTTTATTGATTTACATTGCTGAGGCCCAGTATGAGGAAAAACTAAGTAAAGAACTGACCACCCATTCTGCTATCTCAGAAAAGGAGTTGGTGCTGTTGTGGTCTAAACCACGGAGCTTCTTGGGCTTGCTGATCGGAAAGTCAGTGGTTCAAATCCCCATGATGGGGTGAGCTCCTGTTGCTCTGTCCTGGCTCCTGCCAAGCTAGCAGTTCGAAAGCATACTAGTGCAAGAAGATAAACAGGTACTGCTGTGGTGGGAAGGTAAACAGGGTTTCTGTGTGCTCTGGCTTTTGTCATTGTGTTTTGTTGCACCAGAAGCGGTTTAGTCATGCTGGCCACATGACCCGGAAAGCTGTCTGTGGACAAACGCCGGCTCCCTCAGCCTGAAAGTGGAGATGAGTGTCACACCCCATAGTCAAGTTTGACTGGAATTAACTGTCCAGGGGTCCTTTACCTTTACCTGCTATCTCAGAGCTACTCAAATTTCAGCCTCAAGCTGTTATTCACAGCTCACATTCATTCTCTCATTTGATAACCAGAGATTTTTAAATTTTACAGCATCCAGAGGATGCCTATCTAGGAGAGCTGAGGAACCCGTGGCATTCCATATGTCACCAGATTCCAATTTCTATCAACCCCACCTAGCTTGGGCAATGGTCAGGTGTAGTAGGGGTGGAGTCCAGCAACCATCTGAGGTCTACAGGTTTCCCAGTCCTGCTGTAAATGGATGGATTTTGGAAGGCAACACAACACCCTGAATAATTTAGCTTTAACTTCCCATAGGCAAAAGAGTGGGAAGCTCTTTTTTTATCACAATGGATAGAATTCAGGATGTTTACACACAATAAGCTTCTCAAGCCCCTGGTTTAATGCTTAGCATTAATTAGTTGGTTGTTGTTTTTTTGCCATGGGTATTACTGTGGGAGATGGAACAGCGTGGTTAGTAGGTTTATCAGACATGGATCCCAATCTTATGCAAGTTTATTTAGAAGGAAGTCCCACTGAGTTAAATTAGACATATTGTCAAATAGATGCTCATAGGATCGCAGCCATAGTCTAAAACCATAACTACACTGACTTGGGAGTAAGCCTCAATGAACTCAGTCAGATTTACTTCAAAGTAAACTTATACTGTTGCCTTATACTGTGTCAGATTATTTCACTATCTAGCTCAGCATGGTCTACACTAGCCCTCCACACATTGCTTGACTACAGTTCCCATCATTGCTAGCCATTGGCTGTGCTGGTTAGGCCTGATGTGAGCTGTAGTCCAACAACATCTGGAAGGCGCCACAACATACTAAGGATTAAACCTGGGACCTTCTGTATGCAGAGCAGGTGGTCTTCCATGCTTGCATAAAATTGGGTTCTGTGTCTGGTACTGTATTTCAAGAAGCTTCTCTTTTGTCAAGTGATGAGCTTTCCAAAACAGCAATGCTTATTATTCTCTTGACATTTCCCTGTTCACTTCAATGCACCTTATATAAAATAAAGTTTTAAAATGTATTCCTAGTATAAATGCGTTATCCTGCTTTTTACATCATTTTTGAGCATACTGACAGCAAAGACAGACTCCTAATCACTGATTGCTCATGGCTTCAAGAAATTGAAAATCTGAGCAGCAAAGCACCAATTATCCTCCCAGTGAAGTGCCTGTGTGCAGATCATCACTGATTCCTGAAACAATCAATCTCATTATGCTTCCCTGCTAAGCACCAGCCATCAATAGGATGTCTCGATTTTTTAATCATAGTGCAACCTATTAAAATACTAACATAACCACATGCCAGAGTGTTCAGAAATGCCACCTTAAAGGAACCAGCCTCTGTCAATGTGCAAAATTTGATTGCCATCATAATTTCTCATTAATGAGTACTTATTCCTCCCATGATGGGGGACCATTCAAACATGTCAATTCCCTTTCCACCATCACCAGTCTGATTTGATAGCATCCAGAAAAAAGCTTCTCTGCTCTATTCAGCTAAATGTGTAAACTAGCACATAATGATAAATGATGCTCAAGACTTGGTGCAAGATACAAGTACCACCAAGCTCCTTTGAAAGACCGATCAAATTCTCTAAGTCCCTGGGAAGAGAATTTGGCAACCACTGTGCTTTCCATAAATAGAGTTAGAGTTCCACAACTATGATACCTCTGCAGTAACAGAGTTTGGGTTAATTAAGCAAAACAGCAAAAAATAATCTATGCTTATTCCCCTCTGATACCCTTTCTGTGCTATGAAGGAACACAAGCTGTCAAGTTATTTCCTAGAAGAGTCAATGTCAAAATGGATGCCTAGCAGAGCAACTTTTATTGTTAAGCACAGTCTAGAACAACTGTATAGGTGACTGCCTCAGTTCGGTAATAGTATCATGTAGAACAGGAAAAGCAATGTCAACAGCTTAAATAAGGAGTCAACAAACTCTTTAGGCATATTTGAATTTTTCATGTTGTGAGTGCCATTTCCCCTGGTTCCTTCTCTCTCCTTTTCCCCAATCAGTCCCTCTGCCACCCTGCCCCAAAGACAGAAAGCAACAAAGCGAGCAGACATGCAAGTAGCTTTTCCAAGGAATCTGGGTAAAAGTGGGATACAGTAGAATTAATCTGAGCTTTTAAAAGCTCATAGAGCTGAAATGGAAAATTGGAAAGTATCACTTTTGCAATTTCCTCCTTCAGCTCTATGCATTCAAGGGAGAAAGAAGTAACCATCCTCACCGCCTCATGACCGGGGGGGGGGCAGTGAAGGGAGAAGATGCAGAGGCTTCGTGGGGACAAGGGGAAGACTTCAATGTCATCATGTTTGTGACCTCTGACTTAAGCATTTGAAAGAGAAAGGGATGTACCTTTTCTTTCTGTTTTATCAGAACCTTTCCCTCCGATGGGTGAGTAGGTTGTGTCCAGGAACTCTGTGCCTTTGCTTCCTTTACTGACTCCATTTTCATAAAGGTGCCCTCCAACAGGCTGTAGCTGCCAAGTTAGGCCAAATAAATGTACTGCTGTTAAAGGAGAGGGTGAAAGGAGAAGAAGAAAAAAGACGCACAATTAATTTATGCCCACCTTTATTACATGAAGAAAAAAGGTAGTGGGGAAGCTTCTGCAGAAGTCAATTATTGTGTTTGGAATAAATTGGAATTCTAAGTATGCTAATTTCACCTTAAACTAAATGTTTAATTAGTTTCCGCACTTTTCTTTTGGAGATCAGCCAATACTAGATGATGAATTTCCTCGGCAATTAACAAAAATGCTTGCAATTCAAGGGACAAAGGCTTTGTAAGTTATATATATTGCATGGAAAGTTGTAACGCTGAATGTGTGGGTGAAATTACACACTCTACTGCAACCTTTTCAAACCTGGTGGCTGTTTCGCCTATGCAAATTGAAGCTAGAAGGGCACAGTATGCAGTAAAATGGTTTGGGGAGGGAGTGGAGGAAGGATGCTTAACCCTCCCATCACCCACTGCTTCTCTCCTCACTACCACTTCCCTTGTACAAGGAACTCTCCTGCCAACATCTAAAACATAGGTTTGGAATCGGGGCTGTTAAGAGCCAAGAAAAGGATTAAGCAGTGCTCTCTTTTCTAAAGCTTCTGAGCTTCAAATCCTGGCCCTGGTTTAAACAGAAGAAGCAGAATCTGCGCTTTCATCCTGCGTTAAACTGATTAAAATGTTCAGAATTAGAGCGGGAAATGTAACCCCCTTTTAAAAAATGCATGCAGATAGGTAAAGGTAAAGGGACCCCTGACCATTAAGTTTTCCAGCCTGCAGTTCTCCATTTCCATGTCAGTTTGGCATTTATTAAAACAATAAATAAGTCCTCATGAGAATTCATCGCTATTTCAGTGCAAATTTCTCCTAATATGCACGTGTTTGTATTAAATTTTGCCCATACACATTTTTGCAAATCAATTTATCCCTAAAACAATGTAGGTTATTTGTATGTTATTTTCACAAATAAAATAACATTTTGGTACACACTACTTGGTTGGAAAATTGCACAACTCAGAAATGTTTGAATTTCAAAGGATGGCTGTGTTTCAGGTCTCTTACACTTTCAGAATGTGAAATAGGTGGGTTTACCTTTAAATGCAAACTGATGGAATTTATCCCTTATCCTTGGGTAAAGGTCGAAACAAACAAACAAACAAAATTCCTTCCAGTAGCACCTTAGAGACCAACTAAGCTTGTTATTGGTATGAGCTTTCGTGTGCATGCACACTTCTTCATATACACCTTGGGTAAAGGTATTATTTTGGCTTCTTTTTGCAGAATACAAAACCCTGAAAGCTGTTTTCCTAAGGCTATTAATTTCAGATGATTCTGGGTATACTGGCACACAACAAACCCATTTATCCAAAGGCTGCCTAGTTCCAAGCTGAATGCTGCTGCTTCTCCATGTCAATATATCTGGAAAATGTGAGATGGAGAGGAGTGTGTTTGTGTAATTCCCACAAGAAATCTCACCAAAATTAACAGTTCTTGAGTCCAAGAGGCTCTGAGAGAAAGCAGTCACTGAAATCTCCTGGCTTCAAGAATTGCAATTCTGGCAGTGTGTTTTTTTCCGGGGGGGGGGGACGCGGGGGGACACATACCCTTAAACATTTTGTGAATCTAAGTTTGGCCTCATTGAGGGGCAGTATTTTAATATGAGTAGGAAAATGAGAGTACCCCTAAACGTTTTTAAAGAAAAAAGTCGATCATCCAGAATGATCCTCAAGTCCAGCCAGATGCAAAGTTGTTCATTATGATGAATTTATTTAGTTCCATTACTGACACAGAATCACAGTCTATGCTTCTCTGATTTGTCCTTGAAGAAGAAATATGACTAGCTGGTTGAAGTCAGCAAATGAAAAACAACAAAAGAATGAATGTTGCCATGGCAAGCTAACCCAGGAGATGACTTGTTCTGCAAACTATTTCATTTTACAGTACAGACAGACTGATAGGTTTGTTTACTGCAATAAGCTGAGAGGGAATGGAATGGAGAATCCTGGAATAGGGCTGCAGATGTTTAGAACACTGAATAGGAACTTCCATGACACCTTTTTGTTGCACGTTCCACATCTAAAATAGTAGGCCACTCCCCTTCCCAGGGGGGCGGGGTTGCAGGCAGGTCATGTTCTCTCCCTGTGTGCAGTGGGGGGTGGGGCATGGTGATGCCACCTGCGTCACTGGGAGTCCTGGCCATGTCACGCCCATGTCAGGCCCCGCGGCCAACAAATCCGGTCAACCGGGGGCGTGGCTTACCCAATTTAAACCTCTGTGCGGCTGAGGGCTCCCTCTTCTTCAGAGGTGGCCCTCCTATTAGCCAGAGTGAGGCAACCACCTCAGGCAGTAGGTTGTGTCATTTTAGGGAGTGAAACTAAAATGACACAACCTACTTGCCTGAGGTTTTTCGACATGAGAAATTAAAATCTGCTGTTATTTTTGTGATTGGGCAACATTTAACATGGCAAGTCTACGTCTGATGAAGAAGCACATAAACTGTTCTCAGAAAACCAAATAATTTTAATTTCAGCTTCTGAAAATGTCAGGTAATGCTTAATAATAATAGTAATAACAACAACTACAAATACTTGGCAAACATTTTAATTATTTCTTTGCAAAATTTAAGTAAAATGCACATTTTACTTACCAAGCAGAACTAAATTATACTAATTTAACCAAAGTATCTTTTAAATTCCCCTCATTTTTTGGATTTTGGAAGCTGAAAAATTCAGCACACCCTAATGAGGAAGAACGTTGTTTTAAAGGCACCCCATTCTTGAGAGCAATGGATGACCTCACAGTGCATATGGCTTCCTAAGCTAATACTAGCAACATTCTCAGTGCCAAGTGGAAAATAAACTAAATTGTCTCAGAAACTAAAGTCAATCCATAGGTAAATTTATGGCAAAGATGCTACCCAAACTTTATTGCTTTATTAAAAGCCATTATCTGAGACTGCAGAGGAAGGCACTGATACAATGCTAGCATCTGGCACAGGCTTAGCTACTGGAAGATAGGAAGATGCCTTATAAAGCAGGAGGGCGAAAGCTTTGGCCCTCCAGATGTTGCTGGAATACAGCTCCCATCAGCCCTAGCTATTGGCCATGTCAGCTGAGGATGATGGGAGACATAGTTCAGTAACATCTGGAAGACCCCCACCCACCACCCTCACTACAAAGTATCAGATCACTGGCCCATCTAGATAAAACACTGCTCACACCAAGGACATGGTACTTCCTGTTGCACCTACAAAGGTCTCAGCAAATATCCTCTCAATAACCCACAATATTCCTGCTCATTTCCTGTTTGAACTGCCTTAGCCTCTCCTACATTGAACATGCCCCCTTAAACCTCATCGTATTTCATGGATGGCAGAACTGAGTTCCATCCCTCGATTTGGTTCAGAATAGATGAGTGGTACAAACAGCTTCTCTCTATAAGTGAGGATGTTAGTGGCTGATGTAGGTACTCTTTTAGATGTTGCAGCTGTTTTATTTTGCCAGGCTCACACGACAGCCATTTTGTGTAATTCTATGCCCCCACGACAGGGCCCTTTCCTTCTAACTAATAATCTCTCATTCTTCTTAGCAATTCCTTTGAAGTTAAGTCCCTGCCTCCATCAATGAAATGTATTGAAGTGGAATGGGCAACGTGGAAGCGGTTTAAACCAAAGGGTAAGATAGTAAATATTTTAAATGAATGAATGAATACATTATCAGACACTGCTTCATTTTTATGGATTATTTTTCCAAACTCACCCCCCAAGGCATGGATGAAATTTGGATGGTGAATTGCAATGTTTGGTTTTGCACCCGAACCAATCCGTACTGGTGATAATCATTTTATTTGTGCATTGGTAGAGCACGCATAAGTGAGATGTGATGAGTCCTATTCTCTGTTCTGCCCCCGTTATTCCCTCTTCCAGGTCAAGAAGGACCTGTGTGTCAGTGATTGTGTGTCATTTTTACGCGCCTAAAATGGCCGCTTCTTGTAATTATATTTTTTTTTTTTTTAAAGAATTTTTTATTGCTTTATTTTCCAAGGTCAGAATACATCGTCCATGACACAACAAAAGCAGTTTTACAAGAAAAAAGAAAATTTAAATATAAGAAAATTCATTTTTCCAAATCTTTTTTTCATCATCTACTGGACTTCCCCACATCCTCCATCCCTGCATTCTTTACAATAAAAGTGAACAGCAAATTAATACCTTGTTTCATGTGTTTTTGTACTTTCATCTAATTATTTACTCTGAAGTTTGAACTTTTCTCAATCATAACTTAATTTCAATCATTTCCGAATCTCAATACGGAAGCATGTTTTTCTCAAAACTTAGCAAATTTTCAACATTCATATAACTTATAATGTTTTTGTAAATACTCCTTAAATTTTTTCCAGTCCTCTTCCACTGCCTCTTCTCCCAGGTCTCGGATTCTGCCAGTCATTTCAGCCAATTCCATATAGTCCATCAGTTGCGTATGCCACTCTTCCAGCGTGGGTAACTCCTGTGCCTTCCAGTATTTGGCTATAAGGATTCTTGCTGCTGTAGTTGCATATAAGAAGAAAGTTCTATCTTTCTTTGGCACTCTCTGGCCTACAATGCCCAGGAGGAAGGCCTCTGGTTTCTTATGAAAGGTATACTTGAATACCTTTTTCAACTCGTTATAAATCATTTCCCAGAAAGCCTTCACCCTCGGGCAAGTCCACCAGAGATGAAAGAAAGTTCCTTCAGCCTCCTTACATTTCCAACATTTATTGTCAGACAGATGATATATCTTTGCAAGTTTGACTGGGGTCATGTACCACCTGTACATCATTTTCATAATGTTTTCTTTTAAGGCACTACATGCCGTAAATTTCATAATTATAAATCTATCTGTAGGTGTCACTAGTTTGTGGGAGATTCAAACACATGCCAGACATCTAGGTTTGTACAATTAAAGTAGATTAAATTGCTCTGCCCCTCTAGTACAACAAATATACCTTTAAAAAAAACAAACAAACATACTTTT